TTTTGGTTTAGGTTCGACTTTAATACGCGATCGGTTGGGTTGACGGTTACGTACTAAGAGTTACAATCGCGGATTAAGAATAATAATATTATAACATTATTTTTATTATAATAATATTATTTTATAAGGAAAAAAAATTGGTGGGGCGGCCAAGAGGCCGGACGCCTCCACTGTTCTCCATTATAATTCCCCCACAATAATAACCCCTCCCCAGAATTATTCTGCCGCTAAACCAAGTTCCCAAACCCTCGCCCAAGTCCCCAGCGCGGCGAGGGAAAAAAGAAGAAGAAAGGGAGCGCCGATCCCGATTCTGATCCCGATCCCAACTCCGATCTCGACCCTAAACCGAATCTCATCCCTTTTGTGTTTCTAGGTAAGGATCACGAACCCCTTCGCGGTTTCTAAACTTGATTAATTGATAGTCTAATTCGAAGCTCGTTTTTTAGCGGTGCCGTTGAGGGTTCGATCAACGAGGAGATCAACGTCCCGGGTCATCCAACCTAGGCCTAGGCACGTTCTATAGGTAAGGGAACTCAATCCCTTTGAGTTAGATCGATCGATTTGGTTATATATTTTTTTCGTGAGGGTGCAATTCTGGGTTTTAGCAACAGGCGTTACGGGCTTTTAGTGACAGATTTTGGGTGGTCACTAAAGCTGCTGGGAATTTTCAGAAGCGTATTTTTGGATGTTTTATTTGTTTCGAGCCTCTCTGAAGGTTTTTTTCTAAATTTAGCAATTTTATAAATTGAACGATGTCTAGGAGATGATTTTAATTTAATATGGGGATTTTTGGAGATGTATTTTTATTTTTAGAAATTGTTCTAATATTCGTTTTAATTAATTAAAAAGCTTTCCGAGGGGTTTTTAAGGGTTTGACAATTTTCCAGGGTATAGGTACTCATGATTGACATGGGAAAATTATTGTCCAAAATTTTAAGAAGGTTCAAGTTAGGTGAAAAATTCGTCCAAGACTAAATAATTAAGAAAAATGGTCGTTTTTGAATGGATTAATTCTAGAAAATTTTAATGGAGGTTAAAGAACCTTTGGAATGAGGTTCAAGGACTGGAGTTTGAGGAGAGGATGTTCTAGTGATGCAAAAGGGTTTTAAATCAAGAAAGGTCGTCTAAGAAAATGGATTCTTATTAATAGGTTTCCCCAAGAAAATCCGACTAAGGAGGGGTTTCTTCGAGGAAGGAGTTGAGGAGTCATCTTTTCGAGGTGAGTGTAAAGGGAGTAAAATCTATGTCGTAGATCTTTTAGTTTCTGCTTTTCGTTCAAGTTATTATTTAGTAATTTTTTTCTAGTATGCGCGATATGTGTGTGAGGCATCCCACCGCCTCTAAGGGTGGAGGCACGCGTTGTGCTATGTATGAATGTATGTGATGTTGTATGGATTGATGGTATGAGGAACCCCCGGGCGGTTGGGTCACTACTGGACGGCGAGACGTAACGCAGTAGTTGACGGGCATGGACTGGACGGCGAGACGTAACGCAGTGCCATTGCCGAGTTTGGGTATGCAACCGGACGGCGAGACGTAACGCGGTTGGCATACTAGGGTAGGACACCGGACGGCGAGACGTAACGCGGTGGTTCTAGCGTTTTTGTGTGTATGAGTTAAGGATAGAAGGCGAGCACTTTTATGAGTTAATGTTGAAATGAGTTGATAAGAATGGTTATTTAAGAGCAGAAAGCGAGAACGGCTTTCATGCTAGGAAGGCATTCCCCTAATAATGTGTTTAGTAAGGAGTTTGCCTAGGGAAAAGACCTTAGGAAGTAACGACGAGACTGACCCCTTCTCACTCACCAGGTCGAGGAATGGTTAGCAGAGGCAGACTTCGAGAAGAGGCAAGGCGAGGCGAGTAGTTGCACTAGCATTGAGGAGAAGTTAAGGAACTCGTGAAGAGTCAGAGCTAGAATAGTTTAATTCCTTTGTTACATGGTTAGGAGTGTAAACTGGAGATTCTGAGTTCATTCATTTTAAGTATCGGGATTGTCATTTGTCCAAGTGTTCAGGCTAAATTGTTTGAAATTCTTAAATATTGTCGGTTTAGTTTATTTTAAAAAGTGGTTTGGTTACTCCGGAGTAACCAGTTTGTGGTTTGAGTTGTGGTTTGATTTTCAAAAAGGATCGGGTCGTGTCATGGAGTATGAAGGACTTCACACGGTTTGTTTCGGTTGTGGGCAATATGGTCACCTTGAGGAATCCTGTCCACAGGGGCCTCAAAAGGAGGACCTGACACCCAAGAAGCGGATGAAAACCAGCACAAAACCTGCAGAACCAGAGATTAGGCCGGAAGTCTTGGAGGATTTTGGGTCATGGATGCTTGCCACAAGGAATAGAAGAAAGCCAAGGCAGCCACTCCAGGAAAAACCTGGAAAAAGGAAAAAGGAGAGACTGAGCCAAATATAAAAGACGCCTCTGGGTAAAGATTCAATGTGCTGGAAGGAGACACAGAAGAGAGAGAAGAAAGGAAAGAGAATACTAATGAGGTTCAAGAACTGGTCGTACGAGAGAAAAGGGAGACAGAGAACAAGAAGGAAGAGGAGGCAGGAAAGGAGGATCTAAGCAAGGAAAGCTCTAAGAAAGACCAGAACTGAAAGCCTCACCAGAAAACTACCCCTGAGATTCCTAAAACTATATCCAAGTCGAAGGTTGTCTCAAGCAAACAAGAGGACACCAACTCAAAGAAGGCCGTTTAAACTACCAGCAAGGACAACGACTCTACATCGAATGCTGCAAACCAACTAGCAACCACCAATCTTGCCACCCCTTCCAAACCAATGATGGGGATAGGAAAGGAGACTAAAGATGCCAAACAGGGACACCAGCCGGAGATGAAGGAGACCCACTCCAAACTGTCTAAAAGTCCAAAGAAGCATATTACCAAGTCACCAAAAAATGTGAAGCCTTCGACCCGCAAGATCAGTTTTGATCCCAAGCAGGGAGAAGAAGTGAAGAAACTTGAAAATGTGATTCATGAGCCTAAAACAATTCCAAATTGCAACGGTGACATTGATGCGATGGCCATGGTTGTCGATTCTACTTGATCTCACAACCTTGTGTTGTTGATAGGGAAGTTCACTGCAATCCTTTTCCATGATTAAAGTCTTTCTTAGAATTGCCGAGGTGCAAAACACCTCATTTTTCGTTCTACCTTTGATTTTTATAACTCTATTCATAAACCAAATGTTGTTTGTATTGTTCACAAGCAGTACATCCACATGGAGTGATCTACTTCTCAAGGAGAGCCTTGTGCACTGACAACCATCTCTGCTAGCCCCAACGAGCATGCTAGAGGGGATCTGTGGGAGGCTCTTCGAGGAATCAGCTTTAGAATCTCATGCCCATGGATGTTGTTCGGTGACTTCAACTCCATCACTAGGCCAACTGAGAAACATGGAGGAGCTAGCTTTAGCTTCGCTAAAGTAAAAGCTTTTGTTAATCTCATTGAAGACTGTGGCCTAATGGACCTGAGCTACACTGGACCTAGGTTTACCTTGTTTAAGGGAGGATCAGGAGTCAATGAGAGAATTGATAGAGGGCTTTGTAATTTGGTCGGGCATCACAAGTTTCCCCAAACCACCATCTTCCACATGATCACGATGAAATCGGACCATAGACCGATCCTTCTGTGAAAAAAGATCACCCCTTGCACACTGGCTTAAACATGATGATTTCCTTCCTTTTGTCTCATCTTCTTGGAAGAATGGTCAACTCCTCCATTGTGCGTTGCAGGACCTCTCTTGAAAGCTTCAAGGCTAGAACAAAGAGGTTTTTGGCAACATGTTCAGAAAGAAAAGAGGCATGGTCAATGACCTGAAATCCTTGGAGAGCCTTAATGCGAGAAATCCTACCTCAACCTCTCTGGCCAAGGAAAAGAGTATAAGAATGGAACTTGAAGACGTCATCTGGCAGGAGGAGATCCTCTGGTTCCAAAAGTCTAGAGCAAACTGGATTATTCATGGCGATCAAAACACCAAATTTTTCCACACAAGTACTCTTACAAGAAGAAAGAGAAACAAGATTGTCAGTCTAAAAAGAGAGGAAGGGGATTGGATCTCTGACCCAGACAAGCTTCAGGACATGGCAAGAGAACACTATGTAAAGCTCTTCACCAAAGATAACAGAAGCACCCAGCAACAACTCACAACCTTGTTCCCTATCCTTGGAAGTCAAATGTGGGAGCCAATGAGGAGAATTCCATCCTTAGAGGAAATTCATGGCATTGTTAAGGACATGAATGGACTAAAGGCACCCAACAAAGATGGGTTTCATGCTCTATTCTTTCAAAGGTGTTGGAAGATCATCGGTTAGGACTTCTACAGCTACCCATGTAACAAGCTACACCAAGTAAAAAATGTAGAACAGTTAGCTCATAAGGACCACCATTATATAACCATTCATCAACAGATGTTGCTTCCCATATTGGGTAAAAGTGCAAACATATAGCCGCAAAAGTAGGTTCTTAGATGTTTCTGGAATCATGACAACATAAGACTTCTCAATGAGACACTGCTTTTCTTGATTCCTAAAGTGGAATCCCCCAGCACGATGAATCACTTCAGGCCAATCAGCCTCTGTAACGTGGGGTACAAAGTGGTGGCCAAATGTATAGTGAACAAGTTAAAACATTTAATGCCCCATCTGGTTAAACCAACCAGTCTAGCTTTGTTCCAAACCGTCACATCGATGATAACATTCTTATTTTGCATGAATCTGTCCACTCGATGGTAAGAAAGATTGGTAAAAAGGGAATGATGCTTCTCAAGCTTGACTTGGCGAAAGCATATGATCGCCACAACTGGGAGTTCTTGGAAGAAACAATCACATTGGCAGGAATCCCTCAGAACATTATCAACATCATCATGAAATGCGTCACCACTATGGAAATGCAAGTTCTGTGGGAAGGAGGTGAAACGCAAAGCTTCCAACCGAGCAGAGGCCTCAGACAGGGATGTCCCCTTTCCCCATATCTTTTTACTCTTTGTGTTGAAAGATTAGGACATTGCATTTTATAAGAAGTTAGTGAAAAGAGGTGGTGTCCGATGAGACTCTCCCCTGGAGGGCCTCCTCTCACACATCTATTCTTCGCGGACGATCTTGTCCTGTTTGCTGAGGCCTCTTTGAAGCAAGCAGAAGTCATTAACAGCTGTGTTGATTGATTTTGTAGTTCCTCGGGGGAGCTCGTAAGCAAGGATAAGTCTAGAATCCTTTTGTTCTGAAAATACTAGAGATAGGGATAGGAGGAATATTTGTGGTAAACTTGGCATTCAATCGACCCTCGACCTAGATAGATATCTTGGTGTACCTGTTATCCATGGCATGATTAATAGAAACACCTATAGGTATATTCTTGACAAGATTGATCAGAAACTCACTTCATGGAAAGCTAGAACCATGTCCTTAGCAGGAAGAGTTACAGTAGCTCTCTCTGTTCTTAATGCCATCCCCACCTATGCAATGCAGGCCACGATTCTCACTGCTTCTGTTTGTGATTTAATTGAAAAAAAGATAAGAGGGTTTGTTTGGGGGTCCAATGAGGAAAAGAATATAGTCCATCTGGTTTCCTGGGAAAAAATTTGCAGACCTAAAAACCAAGGGGACTAGGACTTAGAACTGCTAGAAGTTTAAATATGGCCTTCATGATCAAGCTTGCCTGACAAATTCTGAATAATAGTTTTGATCTTTGGGTGCAGGTCATGCAAAGAAAGTACTTCAAGCACCAGGATGGGCAGATTGTTGATATGAAGAGAAGCAACCACTCCTCCCTGTGGAAGGCCATTATGAAAGCAATGCCTCTCATGAAAAGTGCAGCCTGCTAGAGCATCAGGAATGGAAGGACAACGAGCTTCTGGGACCACCCTTGGCTTGACCACGACATCCTCCTCAAGGACCATTCCCTGGAAGATGTGGATGTGAGCCAGGATGACTCCTCTGTGGCGGATTGGATTGATGGAAGTGGAGAGTGGAACTGGCAGAAACTCCAGGATTTTCTTCCTCCCAATATCGTCTCTCTGATTGCTGGTATGTAACCTTCAAAGAGCAGTCTGGGAGAGGACAAATGCATCTGGGGGCTGGAAAGGGATGGACGCTTCAGGTTGAAGTCTGCTTACAAACTTGTAGCAGACCAACTGGATTTAAGTGAAGAAACTATATGGAAAAACCTCTAGAAATGGAAAGGGCCTAGCCGTACCAAGCATTTTCTTTGTCTTGTATGCATGACAAACTACTCACCAATAAGGAACAAGTCAAGAGGAAGATTTCCATTAATGACAATTGTAGCCATTGCAAGGACGTCGAGGAAACCACAGAACATATTCTCCGTCACTGCAGCAAAACAACAACAATCTGGGAAATGTTCAAAACTAAAGTCACCAACAAGGAAAGGAACCTGTCGTTCAAGGAATGGTTGTCAAGTAACCTGAAGGATGAAACGCATGGTGTTGACTTTGGGTTGACCGTTTGGCATCTTTGGAAGCAGAGGAATGAAGAGTGCATGGATGGCAAGAATTTTGTGGAGAAATATCTCATCTGCAGAATCGAAGCCTGGTTTAAATCTACAAAATGGTTGTGCAGAATGTGGATCGTAAATGAGAAGGATTTACCCAGGTGTAGCTCCTCCTAACTCGCTACCACGACTTGTCGGAATGATTGCACATGTACGTATTAAGTATGTGTAGATAATATATATTAGATATATGGCTAATTACTTAACTAGTTAATTTGGTTTGACTGGTTAGTATTGTCTGAAACCAAACCAAAACAAACCACATAAACCAAACAAGCTAAAAACTTTAACCAAACCAAACCAATTATCCAAATTAACATAACCAAATTATCCAAATAGTACTGGTTAAAATGACGGTAACCACACCGTTTGAACAACCCTAATCGGGAGACCTAAAGTAATAATGCAAAAGTTTCAACCCATCCTAGGAGGAACAAGTTTGGAAGTCCAAAATAATGATAATGTTCATCTAGCTAGGTAGCTAAAAGTAAATAAAGGCGAATAAGTAATAGTACTATGGACGTTCATTGGTGAAACTGAAATAGCTAGCTAGAGGTGACCGGTTGGTCAAAGATCAACATTCCAAACGGCAGCTTCACCTTCACCACAAGAAGTATGCACCTGTCTCATTCTTTCCACAGACTTGCAAATTCCACTGCACGACCAGTCGAACGATGCCACACATACATTTCCTGCTTCTGCTTTCCATACACAATCTGCATTAATTATCAACCATGTCATGACTCGTTAAAATAATTACTATATACATAAACAACTTGAAAGAATATTGTATTTTTTTCATTAATTTATTATTTTATTTCGTATGCTGCTAATAGATATATGACGACTTAATGAAAGCACAAGGAGATCGATCATCATCTTGAGAATCGGACCTGGAGGAGTACCGCAACACATGGAGCGTTCATCTACATGTTGAACCTCCAGCCCAATCAACCACGCCCCTAATGACACATCCTCATTTGCATATCTGTGAAGTATGGGCCTAAGGAAACACGAAACTCAATTAATACCCCCAACCCATAGTTAAGACGATGAACGTAACACGAAGGAAGATGCATGGAGGCTGGAGCTAGGAATAGGAGACTTACGAATTGAGGGAGATATAGGCAGCCAGGTCTTTGGAGATGGCATAGAGTTGGCCAGTTGCATGCCTAAAGTACTTGTTCCCTTCTTCCCCGAATTTCCAGTGCTCGGCCTCATAGTACTTCACCCCTCTAATTATGTGCTAATTATTAATTTTATATATATGAATAACTAAAGCCAAAATAAATTAATTAACGACTTACTTCTGAAATAGAACTGGTCCGGATTTCATGCATCCAATGTATACCCTAGGTGTTGAACGATATTTTGCTAAGGTGGTAACCAGCACACCTTTAATAGAAAAACAAATTGCACATGAAACTGAACACAACTTAAACTATAAGTAATAAATATCACTATGGATGTATGCACGCATCGAGTAAGATGCATGTCGAACTAGTGTAAAATATATATGTATGATTTAAATCAAGAGGCCGATGCGAGAGGCGCATATGCATAATACATATACCACATACTAAAGTATGACCATGAAATAATCTTTTATCTGTTTAATTATCATGGTGATGAATTAAAGTGAATTTTCTCTACCAAAAAAATTAAGGTGGATTAGTGTAAGAAGTTGTATATATATATATATATATATATATATGGGTGTCAATTATATATGTTGTATTTGTATAGTATGTACATGCATATGCATATGAAAACACGTGTACACACCACACGCACCTAAGTTGAGGTGAACGTCGTCATCGACCTTGACGTAGAAGTGAGCGTCCCAAATGGAGGCGGCAGTAGAGAAATAGAGCCTGGTCTTGGTGGAGAGCTGGTGGTAACCTTCGACGTGGTTTAGCCTGAGGAAGTCATTGTGTTTGTCTTGCTCGGCGTCGAGCGCCTTGTCAAGAACTCCCCCAGGGGTGGCGCTGTGGCCTATCACGAACCTTATCACTATCCCTTTTTCCTTCTCCAGGGCCTTGAGCTTCTCACCTTTCGGCATCCAAGTCTCCCTAACCGACTCCCGCCGTTTCCTGCTGCTGAATGCTGTGTTGATTCCGATCACTACGAACGCCTTTTGCAGTTCCAGTTCCAGTCCTAGCCCTAGCCCAACTACTCCCGGCGTCGACGTTGATGATGAATCATTGATCTTACTACTTGATAAATTTCTAGCATTAACATTGTTCGTAACTTGCCGGGGACCTCCCCTTGCGGCAGCAGGCTCTCGCCGTTGCCTTGTTCTAGCCACTGCCAGTTCCATCTCTAATGACGACATCGTTGTCTCCAGCGACCTGCAGCACGCCATATACGATCAGTTTGCTCCATCCGAACTTCTCTCTCTCCCTCTCCCTCTCCCTATATATATACATAAAATTAAATGTCTCGATATCGATTATGTATATGGCTTACTTGATAGATTGATGGGTCCTCTCTACTTCATCCATTATATCTCCAATAGCAGCAGCTGCCGGCCTCTCCTCCGCCAGTTTCTATTTAATGAAAATTTTGGACATGCAATACTACTCATGAGTACGTTACGTACCATGTATAAAATGAACTAGAGTAACGAAATCCTCAAACTAGCTAGCTAGCTAGCTAGAAGTTAAGTACTGGACATTATGTATATAGATGTAGAAGGTAAAAATATTTCTTAGATATGTTGTATACAAAAGAGATTACATATATTAGTGTACGTACACGCTTGTGCTCGCAGTCGTGCTTGGCTTGGTTCGGTTCAGTGGAAAAATTATGAGGAGTGAGCGGCGGAGGAACAAGTTGTTTATGGTTGTCTTTGGCAGCTGAAGAATAGCTTTTACGACTACTGCCACTCCAGCTGGTAAACAGTGATCCCGCCACAAAGCAACCCATGCATAGCAGTATTATGGCTCTGCCTGATGATACGATCGGCTTCCCCCTCATTCTTAGCTGCCGCCCCAGAGACTGCTCGATTCCTAGCTTGCTACATTAATCAAACATTTAGATATGTAATATCACTCTCTCACACTCATATACATATATAGATATCCCAATAATGAAAGCAAGAAATAAGTACCTTTGCGCTTAGTAATTAAGAACGACAAATAGTACCGAGTAAATGAAGAAGAAGGATGACTGGATGATATATGAAAATTGAAAACTGAGTGGGGGAGACAAAAGTTTTTGATTTATTCAACTTTTGGAGGATCGGTGGATGGTGTTTGACGACGAATCTAGCTTAGCTAATTATATTGATAATCTTCCCACCTTCTTTCTGCTAATTCATCGATTAATTAGCTAGTAGCTAGCCACCAAGCAATCCACAGTTTTAGTTTTCTTCTCCCTCTCTCTTGCTAAACGAATGCTCGGGTATTTGGAGTTGGTAGTTCAATCATGACTTTTTCATGCTTCAACAAACTTCTCTTAACATCAATAATCAACATGCATCCACCAACACACTTCTCTACCCTAGAAAGTTGCTTCTGTCGCTAATTGATGAAACGGTCTTTAAGGCCAGTTCCAGTTGGATACGAAGGAGATGTTATTAGACAGGCCCAAGGAATATTAGAGGAAAGGATTGAAATATCGTACCGGAGATTGTATCGGAAAAGTCAGCGGTAGGATATTTTACGTTAAACTTTGGTTCAACCGTTCAATTCCGTTAAATACCGCCAGTACGGTACGGTATTTTCTGATCGAACCGCCGGTACGATAGGAGGCAATTATCATTGCAATTTTTTTTCAAACGGATAGAGGTAATAAAAAATTCTCACTATACAGCATTTTCACCAAAATTTCTTGAGCTACTAGAGTTTGGTGCAGTTCGTTGGTGTCAACGGCAAACAACAAGCTATGCCACATAAGTCAAAAGCGTTGAATTTAATTGCTGAACAAAACAATGAACAAAACTTGTATGTAGGAGCAACAAGTGATGTACATTTGCTCGCTGAAAAAACAAGCGATTCAATGTGATCATAGTGGACACCAGCAATCGACACGGATCAATGTTTGAACAAGCAGATGGCGACACATGGCGTTAATCACGTGGTGGAGGAACGAAAATCGATCAAACACTCGTTTACCACCCGTATAATCATTTTATTTAGGAACGATAATCGATCCAAGATTATTGTCCTACATTGCCAACTCAAACATGGTAGGTACGCAAAAGAACCAACCCAATCACCACCATACGCCTCGATCATGGCTTTTGCTTTTCATATCATGCCTTTTTGTACCTTATGGTGTAACCATGATGATTCTTCACTTCTGCAATGACAGCTTTCACGGTAATACGAGGTTCTACCTCAACTAAGTGTTTGATGGTTTGAGCCACTTTCACCGCATTCAAGTTATGATGGTCTTGTGAAACAATCGATGACCTGCATATGTGGGTATTCTCTCGTAAATCAACCAAGTCACGTGCCTTTTAACCATGGCAACGCGAACTTGCACATGCATCTTTGTTCAAACTTGTCACAACAGACTCGAATTGGTTTATTGTCTGATAGGATGGCATGATACTAAAAGCTCTTCCTTATCGCTTCTTCTTTCAAAGCATCTACAATCTAGGCCTTGGATCCAAACGAATGCTCAACCATAAAAGCTGAGGTAGCATTCCAACTAGGAGTAGGGGGAGGTCTGGTTCGTCACTGTGTATGAACTTTCTGTGAGGGTTTTAGAAATGCAGCACCCTTACTGAAGGAGGGCTGTTGTGGTTTGTATATATACCACGATTGAAAAAGGATAAACAACATAAGTAGTAGTTTGCCACTTGTCAGTATGACATTGGCTATTACAAAACAAAACAGTGTTTAATTAACGACTACTTGCACTTTAGTAAAACGGTTGCGTATCACATCTCTTCTCTTCATCTCTTCAACACGACATTGTTCCATTCTTCTTTCTTTACAACTGCTGCCAGTCCTTCTGTATCTCGGATTCATCTGCTGCACTGCAACCTTCAGTTCAATTGACATCCCCCTTCAAGTTGTGGATGTCATCTTGACTCCCAACTTGTCAAGTAGATCCTTCAGTCTCACTTTTTCTACTGCCTTTATAAATAAGTCTGCCAGCTGGTTAACAGAACTTACATGGTGTAATTTAATCAATCCCAACTTAATTCTTTCTCTTGTAACTTGCATGTCAATCTCTATGTGTTTTGTTCTTTCATGAAACACAGGATTTTCTGCAATGTGTATTGCAGAACGATTTTCACAATATATCGAGATTGGTAATGGTACCTGCACACTCATCTCTGCCAGCAGATTCCTCAACCATTGCACCTCACAAGATAACAAAGCCAATGCTCTGTACTCAGCCTCTGATGATGACCTCGAAACAGTATTTTGTTTCTTTGTTTTCCAAGTCAGGAGTGAACTACCCAGGAATGTACAGTAACCTGTGGTTGACCTCCTTGTTTCAGGGCAACTAGCCCAATCTGAATCACAAAAACCCACAAGTTTCAGATCTGCTTTGCTGTTGAAGTATATTCCTTGTCCAGGTGAACTCTTCAAGTACCTAAGCACTCTGTAAGCTGCATGCAAATGTTCACTATGAGGATCCTTCTGGAATTGGCAAAGCTGTTGAACTGAGTATGTCAAGTCAGGCCTGGTGATTGTTATGTAGTGTAGTCTTCCCACCAATCTTCTGTATGATTCTGCATCTTCTAGTCTTGTACCTTGAGTAGCTGTCAACTTGATCTTAGGATCTGCTGGTGACTGACAGCCCTTTGCCTCTATGTATCCAGTATCATGCAACAAGTCCATACAATATTTCCTTTGGCAAACTGAGAGCCCTTCTGCATTCCTTGTCACTTCAAGTCCAAGGAAATACTTTAGAGGTCCCAGTAACTTCACTTTAAACTCTCTACTCAGTGCCTTCTTGACATGCTCAATATCAACTGGTGCATCACCACCTACTATAATGTCATCCACATAAATCAATACAATCACAATTATTCCTCTTATCCACTTAGTGAACATTGAATGGTCTGAGCTTGACTGTGAAAATCCACTTTTCAAAAAGGAATCCAGTTAGCTTGGCAAACCATTGCCTTGAAGCTTGCTTTAATCCATATAAGGATTTCTTCAACCTGCAAGCAATCTGTCCTTCTTTTCCCAACAGCGAAACTGGTATATCAATACTTTTAGGAACCTTCATATACACTTCTTCTTCTAGGTCTCCTTGTAATAAAGCACTAGAAACATCCATTTGATCTAGTGTCCAGTTTTTAACTGCTGCTATTGCCAATAAAGCTTTCACTGTGTTTATCTTAGAAACAGGAGAGTATGTATCCAAAAATTCAATCCCATACACCTGTGTGTAACCTTTGGCCACCAACCTGGCCTTATACCTCTCTACCGATCCATCAGGTTTCAATTTGATCTTGAATACCCATTTATAGCCAATCATTCTCTTACCTGGAGGTAGCAACACTATCTCCCAAGTTTGATTTACATCCAAAGCTCCTATCTCAGCTTCTAATGCTCTTTCCATTCAACAAACTTCACAGCTTCTGCATATGATCGTGGTTCCATCTGAGCCAAAACACTTAGTGCATACCTTTTGTCAACCTGGTTGAGGTAGTCAACATGGAAACAAATTGGATGTCTGCTTGATGTTGCCACAGAACCAAATTCACCAAACTTCAGTCTAGGATCAAGTTCACAGTCACTGTATTTAGCTGGAAGATGATGTTTCCTGGGCGGTCTACCTGTTGGTTCCTCAAATTCTGCTTGAGGTTCCAGTTCAGGGTCATGTTCACCATAAGAAGCAGAAGAATCTTGGAATGGAGATTCAGAATTGTTTGATTCAACTTGGGAGTTCACTGGTAGTTCAACTGTTTCAGGGGAGGTTTGCCCCCCATCATCAGAGGGTGATTGAGAATGAGAAGGTAGAGGGACTTGGAGTGGTGGAGAAGGAACAATAGGTGAAGAAGAAGGAGAGACTGATGGAGAATCAGTTTGTGGTTCTGAAGAATTATGTCTAAAGGGAAGAATGGACTCATGGAACATTACATCCCTAGAGACAAAAACACTATGGTCATGAAGATCCAAGAGCTTGTAGCCTTTGATGCCTGGAGGTATCCCCAAAAAGATACACTGTCGAGCTCTTGCATAAAATTTAGTTCTGGCATGACTCAGTGTACTAGCATAACAAAGGCTACCAAAGACTTTCAAATGACCAAGATAAGGTGGTTTGTTGTATAAGATTTCATAAGGTGACCTATTTTGTAATACTGGAGTGGGTATTCTGTTGATAAGGTAGACTGAGTGTAGAACACAATTACTCCAATATTTGAGAGGAAGACCTGATTAAAACCTTAAAGATCTTGCAACATTCAAAATATGTTGATGTTTTCTTTCCACACGTGCATTTTGTTCAGGGGTTTCCACACAAGACATCTGATGCTCAATCCCATTCTCCATATAAAAATCACACATACTGAATTCTCTTCCCTGGTCACTTCTAACTGTCTTGACAGTTTTTCCAAATTGATTTTTAACCAGTTGACAGAACCCCTTAAGTAACTCTCTTGCTTCACCTTTGTGTTTCATTAAAAACACCCAAACTGCTCTAGAACAATCATCCACAACAGTAAGGAAATAGGCATAACCATCATAAGAGAGAACAGACAAAGGTCCCCAAATGTCAACATGGACAAGTTGGAACAGATCATTTGCAATACTAGTGCTTATAGGAAATGGCAGTCGTTTATGTTTAGAGAAATGACAAACATCACAGTGGGAAATCTTAGAACTAGAAACAGTGGAATCAGTTTGTTGTAAAAGAGAAATCCTATCACTACTAGGATGTCCAAGTCTCCAATGCCAGAGATCAAACTGATGTGCATTGAAGTTGAAAGTGGTGGTTGCTTGTGGGAGTGAAGGAGTAGTCATTTGGTCTTGAGATGGTTGGAAAGAAAGATGGTATAGACCTCTAGATTCTCTTGCTAAACCAATCATCTTCTTGCTTAGAAGGTCCTGAATTTGACACAAATCAGAATGAAAGTGTAAGGCTAGGGGACAATCTCGTGTGAGTTTACTGACTAAGACAAGATTAAAAGAGAAACTTGGAACCAGAAGAACATTATACAAGTGTAAACCTGAGGGCAACTTTACTGTACCTATATGTGTAACTAGAACCTTATTTGTGTTTGGTAGGTACACATAAGTGTTAAGTACTGGTTGATACTCAGTGAAGAGAGCTAAAGAACACGATATATGATCTGAGGCTCCTGTGTCTAGAATCCAGAAAATGAATCATATCGGTGTTGGTAAGGTTGGAATGTGTGGAGAGAACATAATTACCTGAGTAATTTGGAAAGGGAGGAAGGAACTGTGACACTGAGTAGGCATTATGAGAGATGGAAGGTAGAGTGGTGGTGAATTGACTGTGCTAGCACTAGACTGCATCAAGAGCCTTAGCCTATTCATCTCCTCGGGAGTAAAACCTACCACAGATTTAGCAGAACTTACCGGAC